AATAGGTTAAACAGGTGGGAAAAGGTGTGGATGCAAATATATAGCGCTGTCTAACGGTCAACTTTTACCTTGCCGTGTCATACGTGATGTATGCACTTTCTTATCAAGTAAACACTAATACCGGAATGAACATGAATATTTTATGGTTCAGGATATATATTCCCGTTTTGATATGATGGATATTAACTTGACGTGGTTATAAGACCAATAGTGTGCTATTAATAGGACTAGCATGTTCTGTCATTCAATTCCAGGACAGCAATACTTTTTGACTTGCATATCTCTTTGAATTTTATACTGTTGAGTTCCTCATATATCCTTGACAAATTAGTCCCTTGAAATGAATTATTACGCAGGGATAAAAAATGATCTTTGGATTCTTTCCACTTCTGATTATATGCACTTAAGTAGCGGATATCCTGCTTATTTTTGAGGATACAGATAGGTAACTGTGATTGGCAGTAAATCAGATTTTGGAAATCCTGATTTTTTAATGAAACGAGATCTTCACTTTAATAGCCGATTCATTTGCAAATATTGAGGTTGAAAATGTAAACAAATTGCAATACTTATCTTTCTCAAAGCCATTATCATGTATTTGTTTGATATACCAAATGCTAAATATGATGCATTGCCCAGCCCATGCATGGAATTTCCGTTTGCTGTTATTACCCCACTCCCCCCACCTTTTGCGTACGCAGACACGCAACCTAACGCACACCAATCAATAAACACCCATTTAAACTCTTTGCGACAGCTCGGCTCCAATACACAAAAATGACCACGTGATATGTCCAATCTCTTGGATTTGAACTGTCCCATCTTTTTTCCCATGCTACCTCTTGAGCTTAAAATAACCAGGGATCAATAACTAGTTCATGTTGTGTATCGACATGTATTTTCTTTAATTGAGATTATCTAGGGAGATGCATCATCCCCAATCATGCGAGAGAGTTAGGGCCGGTACATGCGGGAAGACCAATAATCTAATCAACTCTTACTCGAGTAATTGTCCTTCGCGCCCCCTACACGTGCTTCAAATTTATTTCAACTTGGGCAAATGGCAGGTAAACATTCCATGTGCATGCCGTCTGCACCTGTATACACATGAATCCTTGGAAATACATGTCTTCCCGTTGGTAATATTTTCAATTTGCCTCCCTTCAATTTTGAAAGAGGTGCTGGATATAAAATCCGAGGTATCGAGGAAAATGTACAAAGCATGATACCCATTACACGAAGAGCTTACATAAATGGCTTTCATGCAGCAAGCAATTACTGATTTTGACCTTCGCGTCTTCTCTCCACTATGAAATACGACTTAAAAACACAATTAGATAAAAAAAATTAGCATTGTATGGCATTTGTTTTACTAATTTGGAACATTATTTCATCGTGGCTAATTTTAATGATCTCACGAAAGCAATTAGCCACTTTATTTTGACATTCCTAATTATAGCATCAGAATGGTGTTTGCCAAAAAAAGTTAAGATTTTTCTTGTCAAGGCATCTCTATTTGAATTTAGTAATATTATGTCACAGCATTGGATATCTTTCTCTTATTATTTCAAAACGCATCATATTTTTACAATTAGTTTAGGTTTGATTTATTCTGAGGTTATGTGAAACAAGAGACTTAGCATTGATGTATGGTTTCCGACAAGCTATTACAAAGTGCACTTAACTTGATCCCATGTTTTATGGGATAGACAAAATAATGAAGAATAATAGAACAATAACCTTCTCTCTCTCTGTGTAACAACCTTCTATTTGATTTATGCATTATTCATCAAAATTGGGCTTTCAAATCGTTGAAGAGGTGCCAATTTTACTGCATGTGTTTCTTTGCTTTTAAGAAACCATTTCAATTTAATACAGTTTTCGTAAGCTTATAAATCTTGAATAAAGTAAAGAAGAATTACAAATACAAGATATCATTAAAAACCGGAATACAATAATGGAAAACTACATGACAGGTCTTGTTTCGTTTAGATTTCGTTATGTTTTTTTAAAGCTGTTTTGGCTTTCTTTGTTGTCGTTTGTGCATGTACATGTATTTATTTCTGTTATAGTAAACTATTGGGGGCAAAATCTCTGCATATGTGTTTTCTCGAGAGTAAATAAAGGTTACTATAACTTTTGAATGAAACGGAACTCCTAGAGCGGCCCACTTTTTCATATATGCAAGACGACGTCACTGAAAACCACGAAGGAATCCCAGTTGGAGGATAATCGAATTATACTAGCGGAAAACATCATATTTCCCGAATTTTCACAAGACACTTAAACGCAAGTACCATTTGAACAGCGAGCACTTGGAAGAAGCGTGGTATTGATTTGAATTTTCACGCCACTATACTCTGTATATTTCTAGAGTTTAAAAAAGATATGGAAGACCATTTGTAGGCGGTGCTTTAGATCCGTTCTGTCCATTGTGTTTGTCACGATTTTTTAAATAACAAATTTGTGTTGAAAATGTATCATGCTTTTCTCTGGAGAAGTGTGTGTCTAGTCTTGGAAAAGGACACTGGCGTGTGTGTGTGTGTGTGTGTGTGTGGGGGGGGGGGGGGGGCTCCGGTCTCACCTGATGAATAAAATGCGATTTAAGAGACATAATGCAGGGGTGCAGGAAGAGGTCTTCGGATGGATAGATATGAGTAAAATGCGCACTGCATAAGTGAATCTTAAATTTTTAGTATTGCTACTATTTTTAGTCTTCATCAATTTTCGGTTCTCTGTTTTTCTATGTGTATCGTATTTTATCCGGGTAAAATCGCCGTATTCCTTCGTAGCTACGCCATTGTATACGTCTAGAAGAGCAAGTATCTAGTCAATCTTTGATTTGTTTCAATAAAAAAAATCGAATGATTAACACAAACCAAGAAATGGGCAGAGTAAGTCACGTAATATCTTTCTTCCTACAAAGCCTTTGCAATAGATCCCACAAAACGTTTACCTTCCACAAATATACGATAGATAGCAACAAGATTTTTTAGCGCTTCAAATATAATTTTTAACTTCACTCTGTGCAATATTTCTAATCAACGATATTTGTCCATTAGGTGAATATATATGATTCAATTATCGGACATAGGCCTACCGTTGGCATCGCCACAATGCAGGTTTTACCGATCGGATTCCTGAGTGAAGTGAGAACGGATCCCAAAATGAGTGGTTCTTCCTTTAATGCCCTCCAGAGAATGCTTGCAAATCGAAGGGCTTAAGGGCATGCTTTTCAAAAACATGAAGCGGGCCGGTCGGCTACATTATGTAGGCGTTTTACGGTTATTGTTCATCTCCAACGCCTCATCTGTCTTTCTTTGTTGCCTGGGAGAAGTTGCCATCTATCACAGAACGTCATAATTCATGTATGGCAGTATTACGATTCGCCTGAGGTCAGACTTTTGTGACAATAGAGAAGTGTGGAAACACTCGTAGTAGTCCAGAGCGCAGATTCATCACGTCAGGCCAGCCATCGATATTTATGGAGGATCGTGTTCCGGGAATAGAAAAAGTGTAGAGGATGTGTGAACCTAGTGAAAGCGAACTATAGATATTGATTTCAGCTAACCAATAAAAGGAAACGTATCAGACACGATGCTATCTATTGCTTTATCCATTCCGAGCTAACTTACATGTTTGCCCGCGGATAGATTATCAGATTTGATTATTTACGACCGATTTATTTATAATCTCCATTTTTTCTTGGTTATTTTGTTGATTTAATCAGCATTTATATTATACTACATTATGATTCCTGTTCAAATCCTTCATAACCATTCAGAGCCAAAAATATATTTTGCCTCCCGGCGTTGTCTCTCTCTCTCTCTCTCTCTCTCTCTATCTCTCCTTCTTTTTCTCTGGCGCTCTGACTCTTTCCTATCGCCTGTATTCCCTATTCTGCTGTCTCCACTTCCCTTTATATATTTCTTCTTGAGGATATACTTACGGGATAATATTATATAAGATTGATGTGCTATTCATTTTGTAAGAATCAAAGTGCAAATATCTACCTTCCATGGATAATGCGAGGTACATTTTACTCGAACACACTAGTATCTGTTGAAATTATAATAAAATTCCTGCATTATCATGAATTTGTTTCACACTGCTTTAAATCATGTGTGTAAAGAATAATTATCAGTGATTATCATATGTTTGCAGCGTGTCACATAGCCCAAGACGAGCTACTTACAGTTTTCTCTTTTCAATCCAATATAAATCATAGTTTTTTGTTGCCGGTTACTGCATGAACAATACGATTTTATATAGTAATTCCATGAGAATTTGTATGAAATCATTTGTTTAAAAAAAAAATCTGTGTTGATGCTGTCTCTCATAACCTATGAAAATATAATTCATATTTGTTTCCCTATTCTACTTTGTCAGTAAGAAAATGATTGATTTGATTTTTAAAATGCATCCTCAAAGGCATACATAAGTACTAATCTAATCTAATTAATGCATTACTGTACTCTCCATTGAGGCAAGGATCACACAATTACTGTTATAAACGTACCTTTATAGCGCTATGCGTATCATAAGTTTGGATACAAAGGTTTTTCAAAATTCAAGGTTCATAACTTTATATTTTATGTCAAATTAGATAATGCTTACAGAAATATAATAAAACATTACATTTGTATCATATTCTCGGAGTATAAAATTATTATTAAAAAATTATTGTTATAAGGTATTTGACATTCGGATAAAGTTTTGTGGTTGCCATAAATCGTGTTTTTCATTTATGATGCGCGCAGGGGTGGGGAGTGGGAGCAGCAATGATATAATAATGTTATTACAAGAGGCTTTAAAAATGATGTTGCATATTAATAATGATCTGTAATTAAAAAAAAAAAATCCAAATCCAAATCCAAAGAACAAAGGTTCAGTAATCCGTAATGATTTTTTGTTATCATCTTCATGAACTATTGAAAATATGTGCATGGCAGCTTTCTTTCTTTGGTTTAATCTTTCTTATTTTCTTTTCATTTTGACAGGAACGCAGCTAGACTACTCTTACATAAAAACACAGAACGTTCGACGCCATTTCCAAGTGAAGAGGATGAAGTCAGGAGAAAGCTTTCGGAAATCCTAGATAAATTGAAATGGAATTTAAATCTTTGAAACTGGTAAGTTGACAATGTACGAAACGTAGCTTAGATAAAGAAAAATCTATTCTACATAACAGATACTATCGAGGATTATTTTGATATTTCATTAAAGTAATCCGCTTTACTTTTTATACTTAGTGGGGTTTAGGATAATTTGTACATGTTTTTTATTAACATGTCTTGTGAATCTTTACAGCTTTATGACCAATGTAATACGTTCATACAAAGCTTCTTATTTACTAAGACAAAGCAAAAGTCTTTTAGTTACAAATCTTCAACATAAATCTTAATAAGTGCATATGTAGTCTCAGCCGTATTCTGAAGTTTCATGAAATGATGTCACATTTAAATACCTTTGGCTTTTAAAACTGATAGAATGAAATTTCTTTTGATCACTTCATAGCCTCAATTATTTTATTACAATTTTCTCACATTTTCTAACGCGGGAATATTCTCAATGTTTGCTAAGTAAATAGACAAAGCTATTCAATTCGAAATTAAACAACGGTGCAAACGTGCTTATGCAGTAGTTTTGCATTTTTTTCGCAGAAAGTAGAATTCATTTGAAAATTAAATTATTTATCGACATTAAATACCTCATGCTCAGTCCTATCCTAGACAAAGACATCAAGTGCGGAGAGAGGGCTATATTTAGACGGTAAAATAGTTATGTCTTTACGATTCCACGATTACAATTTTCACATTCCTCTCATAATTATTTTGTTAGAGCACAATCATCCATTATCAGTGCCGAAGCACCTGGTATTAAAAGTAGATATATTGAAGAATTTACGCTGGAAATCTAAATTTAAAAAAAAAAGTAATCTTAAGTAAATGATTGATGGAAAGAAATGGACGCATACAAAAATACACCAAACGCCAAATTTGAATTTATTGGTAAAATATTAACATCAGATGTGTTTATAAAGTGTGTTTTGTGAATCTCGATATTTTAACGGAAAGCGTCTGTAATACGTGTAGTTTGTGGACAAAGTTGTTTTTAATGTAGAATGCCCAATCACTCTCTTCTCGTTCGACTTAATATTGCTATTCATAACAAATGATGTGATAAACGTAGCCAAACAAAGTTTGAAACACTTTATAGGGCTTCTGATAAATGTTGCGCAGGTGTTGCAAGGTGTAGGAATAATGCCTTCATGTAATGACCTTCACGCAGGTGAAATTTAAAAAGTTCTACTCTGTCTCTGTTTAATAAAAACCCATTAAAATTCATTATACAGCAAACACGAAGAAGAATGTGTGGGCGATAATCCATTAACCTCTTAATATAAAGCCAATTTATATTTTGCTTGTTATGATTAAATTAAATCTAATGGATGATGTGTGATTATCTTTCAGTATAAAAAATGAAGTTTATACTTATACCATAGATTACGTTCGATTCTGAATAGTGTTTTAGGATATGTCGGCGAGTTAATGACACTTAGAGAGAGTGAGATGATAAAATGACTAGGGCTAGGGACGATGGACGTTCAGTTTCGGTATTTTCATTATGTATGATCCTTATTCATACATTCGAATATAAAGCGGTGTTTGTGCGTATATTTGTGTAGCAGTTGCTGGTGTGGTGTGGATTGATGTGTGTGTGTGAGTGTAGCAGGGCTGATGTTTATATGTTGTTTAGGGGAAGGCGTGGTGGTATAAAGTCTAAATATCAAAGCTTTTAAGATTCAATAAAAGATTAATAATTATATATACTTTTATTAAACAATAAAGAACTCTTTTCAAGGGCACAATGTACGATTATATAAACACAATTTTTTTTAATGTGTTCGGAGTATTACCAAATATCGATTTACCTTCCAGACACCAGACCTTACAGGTAAATGTTATAAGGTACATTATAATGTGACAATTTAATTTTCTGATCTGTTCTGTCCATCATCTTAACATTTAATTGGAACCATTGAATAGAAGGTAAAATGCCTTACACCTAGCTCCTCCGTAGTGCAAGCTCACATATTTATCACATTTAATATCATACACCATGATACATACCTAAATGTGATACACTCAACAACAACACAAAGAATTACTACGGCAACTCTGGCATACAGGATATGAAAGACCTTTGATGGCGGCAATGTATCGTTTGCCCCAATTATATACAATAGTAGAATCAGCTCGCAGGATGCATGGTGTGAATGTTATAGTACGTCAGTGGCGCCAAAATTAGACCATTATGGATAGCCTGGAACATATTTGAGCACCATCACAATATTTTGATGACAATGTCCCTAGTTTTTTTATACATAAATTATGAGAGTGGTGTCAAATAATTAATCATCTCCCCAATTTACTGCTTTTCATGTTAAGAGCCCCTAGGCGTTTTCAAAATATTGTGCTAACAATATTTCCTATATAATATGGCGTATCATAAACAAGAATGAACGCACGCGTGTATACGTGGGTAGAAAACAAAAATCAATCATCGACCTCACTAATGACGCTTCGCTGGCACTATGCCCTGGTATGAAATGCATATTATAATGATCTTTCAATTCAACCTGTCATCGCTCACTTAAAAAGTACCATCTTCAGCCTGCCCCCCCCCCCCCTCCCTTCATCAAGATTAGTATAATATGTCACCTGTGGTATTTTGACGAAGCATTTGCACAAGCTTTCAGGTGTGCGAAGTACAAAAAGAATCTCGTCTAGAAACCCTACAGACTCTCTCATTTACAAGCAGGATGGGGAGGGGGGGGGGGTAGGGGGCAAATACTTCCCCTGTGATTTTCCAAACATGCCACAAATCAAGCAATGTTTTTTCGAACATTTCCCTTTGAGATTACTGCAGCGCCGCCTCTGTTCGTAAGGTTTAATTTGTTTTAGGTATACTTCTCCCTTATCCTTTCATCTGGAGTATTACATTCTAAATTTTATTGGAAGATTGACTCCAAGACTGACGTGTCTACACAAATAGTACAACATAAAGAGGTGAATGAAATCGGTTTAACATAATAAGGAACATCAAAACGTCGATTTTTAACTGGTAGTACTGTAATTATTTTTTTATAAAATTGAACCAATGTATAACAACTACAACAACTATATTGAAATGGAATGAAACTAGAAAACATTTATTCTTAAAAGGTGGAATTGCTTTTATTTTTTCTCTTTCTCTTTAATATAAAAAGCAGCATTATAAGTAATTACAGTTTAATAGGTAATGCAAATACACTGGAAATCAGTGAAATCCCGACTGTCGGCTGAATGGTAATTGCTTCACCAGCAACATTTAAGAATCCTTATTTTAATGTTTCAGTATTTTATATGAACTGTCTCGGATTTCAAAAGTGACAGGTAAATAGGCTCAATATATTTTCCATCAAGTCATAAATATGAAAAGAATAGATCACAGAACATGACAAACTATACTCTCATAATTAACCTTTACAAGTCTTGTTTTTTTACAAATCCCTCCGAGTCCATCTCCATGATTGAGGTGCACAGTCGAATTCTAATGACGCCGTCGATAGTAAATATGAAAGGACACCATATTCATAACTAATCATGCTTGCTACACCTCGGGGACTTTCTCAATTTCAAGAACGATTAGGGCTCTTTCAATCCAGCTACGTCTCGATTCTCAGCGATCTATTTGCCAATTTACCCCCAAAGTCCATACTCCGTCAGGCATCTCCTACACCATTCCAATCGATGCGATTTATTCGCCATAAGCTAATCAAAACAAATACACCTCGAGGGTAGTTCAGAGAAGAAGAAAGATCTTGCTGTCATAAGGCTGTTGGAAGCTTACTCGGTATACATTTTTAATTTCATCTTTCTCCGTTCTTTATATCTTTGCTCGTTTTGATTTGCTCGTTTTGATTTATCAAGATGTTCAAATTTGCTTACATTTCTGTGTAGGTATGATTACAGCACTAGTAAATTAATGTTTTACGGACTAAGTACTTCATTTAAACATTAAAAATTAATCGATCAGCTGGATAAAAGACATAGGTTTTCAGCTAATAATTGAACTATGAGGTTTATAGAAGTAATCATTCTTTAACAAAAAAAAAATCATTGAAAGGCACGTTTTATTCCAAGCGCCTTCAATATCATAGCGCTGCTGCACTCATTTGAAAATGCCTCCATGGCAATTTAATGTTTGTTACGAATCAAATGTTAGAATCTAAGAAAGACTTATTGCAATTGTGACGGAGACAAATATAGGCCTTTTCAATGTACAAACAATAAAAAATGTAATAACACCAAAGAATAGAGAAAACGCGACAGTTCTTTATGAAGAAAATTGATAAACTTCAGACGTCACACATTTGGAAGTCACTTTGTTTTGAAATTATCCACATAAATTTTAACCTAAATGTTTACAAAGATATGTTTAGGTTTGCACTTTTGGGGAAAGCAATATCAAATCTTTTTAGGGAAGGGTATATTAAATTGATAGATGTAGATTTTTGAATTCTTTACTGGATTGAAAAATTATCACCTTAAGGAATCATTTTCTAAGATTGGAGTTAAAGATTATTTCATCACGCTGCCATCTACCCCAAGGCAATTAGAATCATGAAATGAATCAGAAAAACTTAGTTACAAACCATGATTGATTTCTTTATGAATTAACCTTTGGAGAAAAAGTACATTTGCAAAACTATACACCTTGAGGATTTGATTGTTTCCGATTACGTCGTACTCTGAACTAATCCGCTTTCCCCTGATGCTATCTGTGAAATAGCAAACGAGTGTGATTCGGTATGCGTGTCGTCTAGGTCTTGGAGTTCATGTGTTGTTGTACGGCCGACACCTCGGTGTTGATTTCCACAATCGAAGCGAGCTCGATGATTCCCCGCCCCCGGAGAAAAAGGATATACACTCCCAGAGATATCGTGAGATGATTGTGCGAAAAGATGGGTAAACAATACTCCTGGGTTCCAGAGTTTGGATCAAACAGATAGGAGGGGTTGTATAATGCTGTTTAAACACGGGATGACCCGTTGACCGTGTGTATCATATTTTATTGCCTTTCTACTCAAGATTCAAAAGAATATTGTCATGTAACACGTATCAAATGAACAACCAAGCTAAACCATCAACTAATTTCCCCGGAAAGAGTCCTTAACACGACCCCAACCCCGCACATGAGTATTATGGCTTCTGTAATCATGTAAATACTTATTTGTACACGTCCATACGGTTTTAAATAGATACACATTTATGTATACAATGTAAAATCGTCTTCAATAAAGCAAATACTTTTCAACAAAGACTAGAATTTAGATATGTTCATTTACATTTACATAAAACAACTAAAGAATACGACTATTTCGACAAGTTACTTTATTTTCGCAAGGACATGTAACTATAAATTTGTCCTCTCCTTTGTCGGCGCAAAGTTATTTTAGGGGAGAACGTATAAGAAAAGGTGAGATGCTATTCTTTTTTCAAATTCATATGCATGACCTGTTAATCAAAGGGTGTTTATTTGATTTTACTGAAAGTGTTCTCAACGCCTTGTCGCTTACAAATTGCAACGGTGTTATAGGCTTCTTGAATGGTTCAGAAATTGAGAGTGATTGAGCGTAACTGCATGAACGCGCGCTGCCTGCATAATGCCTTTCAAAAGCCTTCCTGAATGACAGATACGAATTATACATGAGTAGCAATTCCCTGATTGTTACTCAGTCCACTCTCTTCGGTACAATGAACATGTTTACGTAAAACAACAAAAACAAACAAACAAACATTAATCGTGTTATACAAATTAGACTCAAATACCCTTGACACTGTCACATGCAGAAAGATTGAGAGCAATTTCATACTTCACCTTTATTCGAGGCAAACAGACGAGTCAGTATTGTCTTACCTTAACTGGCCTTAGCTTCAACTTCAAACCACACCGCTTCTGCACGTATGTGATCTAAAAAAAGGGATGCGATTTGATTAATCAGTCATCAAATATCACATATCCTCGAACAAATAGACAGTGTATCACAATGTGCGGAGGAGGAGACAGGCGACACCCCCAAAGGTCCAAACGAGTGGTATTTTGTCAGGGATCTCTGTCAAGTCTCTTAGTTTCCGCCATGCATGCCAATGTTCTATTGACACCCCCTAAGTGTAATGTATCACTCACAGACCTGAGGTCGGGCTGAGGATGTTAGCTTTGGTCGCCTACGTGGCTACCCTCTCCGTTTTTATTTTATTTTTTTTTTTCGTTCCCAGTTGTAATAATCATGAGATTATATGAACTGTTTGGGATGAGAGAGAAGGGAAATAAGAATTTTAAGTGGAACGCTTTTCTTTCATCGAAGTGTTAAATATGTAGAAAGTAATTTCTTTCAATGTTTCACGACTCTCTGTCTTCTGTTTGATGGTTTCAAGAGAGAGAGAGAGAGAGAGAGAGAGAGAGAGAGAGAGAGAGAGAGAGAGTACGAACACAACCACATACTCACAAAAAAATAACACCGCTGATGAGAGCAAGAGATACCATTTATGATAAAAAGAAACGTATTCTTTGTACGACAAATTAAGCCCTGTTTGGTTGTCTAGGAATATTTGATTTTAATTGCACCTATTTCATTAGTTTTAGAAAAACTACTACTACCCTTTTATTACTTGCCCCAATGTTTGGACGTAGTGGATTTCTAAATCCCAATCTTAAGCGTGCTATGTAAGCGTCTCTGAAAAGACAAATAGAGCACTGATGATTTTTTGTCTTCGTGAAAATTAGGGTATTCGATTGCTCCAGTTTTTAATGTTAAATTTCCAATACCGCATATCAATGAGTATAGGAAGTAGACACGAAATTATACCGTCCACACAGGTGCTTCCAAAGTGGGATTTTAGTTGATCTGTTTGATTTATTCCGAGTGATTACCATGTTAAACTGACGATACATATCTATTCATAGTGGCCTTCCGTTCTTCCCTTTTTAAATATTCCACAAATCAGGAACTTAAAAAATCTTATTCATAGCGAGAGGGAGAAAGAGAGAGAAAGAGAGAGAGAGCGCGAGAGAGCGGCAGAGATAGACAGACAGAGGCTGACAGAATTGGACAATGAGAGAGAATGAATGAATACATCCATAAGGGATAGGCTGAAAGAAAGAAAGTTAAAGAGAGAGAAACAGAGAGAGAAATAGAGAGAGAGAGAGAGAGAGGGGGGGGGAGAGAAGGATGGGGCGGAATGAGACACATGGGCAAAGATATGATGTGGTTTGTACGGTATTGTATCGTTGTTTGGGTTTGTATGTTCCACGGGTGGTGCAATAATAACGTTCTTTCTTTTTCACTTTTCTTTCGTCTCTTCAGGGCTACCTTTTCCCGAGGACTAAGTTTATTTCTACTAGACCACCGTAATTCATCTCGCAGAAAGAAAACACACCACACAGTCCCGTCCATGCCGACATAACCAACACAGTGAACATCTATGGCATCACACCTATGAAGTGAATGAAGGAAACACGCATTTTCGTCACACTTCTCTATAGATCTGCCAAGCATTGCAACATGTCCTCTGAGTCGACCCAGTAACTTTCTCCTCTAAATTGGAAATCCTAATCATCCTATAACGAGTCACAATTATTTATCTAAACTACACAGTCGCAGTTTCTTCGTAAACATTGCGAGTCACATCAGACGCCATTTCGTTGACATCTTCTTTTTTAATCGATTCGACCAAATCCGTCATATTGCCTGTTTCAGGCAATAGGGTAAACCAAGTCAGGGAGACCGAGTCGTGTTACGCGTAGATGTCAGATTATGATCAGCGATATAATGGCCTGTCGAACAACCAATCTGACAGCTACAGCTCACTGATGAGACAAAATCGGTGGATAGCATCCCACTCATACAATTGGCGATCATCAAGTCATCCTTCATTTCGGTTTGGGTTTGGTTTCATCATCCGGTTCATGGTTACATTTAGTTGATGTAGTATACAACACCTAAATTTCAACTGAATTGTCACGTTAGAAATTGATCTATTTATTTACATATCAGTTATTAAATGATTACTGTGGGGTATGCGGATAATGTTAGATACCACGAAGGCTTTTTAAAATCTACTTTCCTTATGCATTTGAACTAGTTAATCACAAAATGATCAATCTTCACCTTTTTATCATGCTTCTTCTCATGAAAATTTAACTTTTACCCTTTTTATGAAACACAAGATTGGTCCTTACTAAAATCATCGATATGTTTTATCTAAATGTGAACAAAACAAATATAAAAGTAATCCTTATTTAGTAATCCAGAGAATTGTTAGAAGCCAAATAATGAATTCAAGACTCTTGTATACACATTTGCTTAAATGTAGAGTTAAGAGGAAGAATATTGTTAGTTGAGAGAAAAAGACAGAACTGTATTTTCCCCTAAAAACATTCTTTTGTGTGTCACTTTTATAAAAGAATTGCTAATTTTGCACGTCACGTAATCTACATATCATAAATTAGAGACATAGTTTGGTCATTTAATGTTGATTAATTTGGGCTAAGTATTTGATTTGATTTGATTTGATTTGATTTATTTACTTCTGTTTGATTTTCTTTTTCTTTTGCATTTTTACAAATATGTAACAAACAAATATTGCAAATTTACACATGACAAAAGAATATATGTAGAATAAAGTAAGGCTGGGTGTAACTAATCGAGAACATCAAACAGGAGGGTTGACAAAATAAGCAAAGCTTGATAGTATGACTACCCTCAAAGGATACATAATAATACAAATATGGAGGAACAAAATATTGGTAAAAGGGGGAAAAGACAAAAAAAGAAGAGAAAAGAAAAAGGGGATGCACATCAATATTTACAGACTCATGTGGTATTTTCAACTATAATCATGATATATGGATTGGAATGGGCAAGATCAGAAATTACACTGATAATAGACATCTTTAAATACTTTCGAAAAATCATCGATACTTTTGAAGTAAAATTGTTATTGCGTTTCTTTTTTAAAGGGATTTTGATGTATATTTTCAACTACTGTTTGGAGTTTGAAACAGGCATGTAATCCAACTTTGTGATCAGTTACATTTTTGCAGAAATATTACACTTTTTTGCTCTCCTGAAATATGACAATTGCTTTTAGGGTAAGAGCAAAGGAACCACTTGAATCATCATCATAATTATGTCTATTGAATGAATTAGTTACGTAACGATAACGATGATGCACATACATTTATATTTGTATGACAAAGAAAATGAAATGCATTCATCGCATGCATGTATGGTATGTATTCACATAAACATACACAAAGGGATATATTGCTTAAAGTGATAATCTTTCACGTTTTACATGACAAATGTCTTAATGTACCAGCTCGGTTTTTAAGGCCCATAAAACAAGAGCATATCAGTCCTTTTTATTGTAATGATGAAAGTAAATTAGCTCACAAAATAGCGAATATGACAGGAACTTTTTAATTTTTCTTGAACCTATAACCGTCTTGTAGTGTGATCAAAGTACTGAAAAAGAATGGCATATGGCTTAGAAACAGATATAGAAGTTGACACGTTTATAAATCTCTTCCTTCTAAAACAATATTCGAAGCAAATGTTATGCAATTAGTAGAAAGCCCGAATTCATTCTAATTTTTTTTGAAAGAAAAATTTACAAATATATTCAATGTATATAGGGGAAATGTATCTATTTCTTATTTTTTGCTCATGTAAGTATTGATCATGTTGAAAATGAAACAATTGTATGTAAATCTTGTACAAAGCGTTCGAGATAAAAAGCCAGACGATGTGCTTTAATTCTATTGTAAACATTTTGATTGTATAATGGTATGATTGATTAATTGTGATTTACAGCTGCGCTAGAGTATAGATGTCGTTGCCAATCAGTTAAACTCCACAATTTGATTAAATTGTCCTTCCTGGTTCACTTAATGTTTATTTTGAAGAATAACAAAGTTGCCAATATGGGTAAGGTCCAAATAATTTTAGAAAGAACCAGATATCCTGTAAATAGAAAATATACTCGAGAGGTATAATATTTTTAAATATTGCGATTACATTTTTTTTAATAAGGGTACATACAATGCCTTAGAATATGTAGCATAGGATTATGAGCCCTAGAGAATGTCATACATGACCCAATTTTTCTTGTGTCAACGGCCTCATATATAAATGAATCCCTCCATTTAGAACTAAAAGTGCCCAAATTGAGGGGTTAATTCAATCATTACTCACCATCAAAACTGGAACATCGGTCCCTATATTTGTGTTCTGGGGATGCTGTAGGTTGTGGGAAATTAGAACAGTAAATTGTAATTTTCTTGCTTTGTCATTTTAACCCAATTGACCGAAAATAATGAATTAATTTGCTGAAACCCTTTCCCATGATTTTACAACGTTCTAGAGATGGTCAATAGTGCGTTCAATTGGCCAGTGTCTCTCGTAATATTTTTCATGATCTATTTGGAGGGGGTTTCACGGTTGTACGTTAATACAGGTCAATTAGGTTGTGACTGAAAAGGGGTGATTCCTTTTGTGTATATTTCATTATTGATCAAACGTCTTATCTTCCAAGATAAAACAGAACTTAGCTTTAAAAAAAGAAACTTAGAGATTTAAACAAAATCTTTCCATGCGATTTTTTAAATAATGATGCCATTACGATTTGTTTCATCTAAACGAGGGGATACATGAATCTCCCCTCGATACTTGAGATGTTAAATAAAGGCGAATTTATGTTGCAATTTAATTGGTTTACCACTATGGAAAATAAGAGAAATTCATGTAAATTCATATCACCTTCGTTGCTTGCATACGTATTTGGGTTGATGAACTTGATCTGTGTTCTGTTCTTCAAAAGAATTGGACTGCCAATACATCAATGCAATTTTTTTGTCTCAAATATATTTCGATACTTTTTCCTTTTTATTTCTCATGCTTTTTCAAAATCAATGACATTATATATATTATTAAAGGCATATGCAGGAATAAATGAAGAATCATCACAATTGCACTATTCTATTTGTAGATTTTTGTTTTGCTTATTGATTCATTAATTCTTTTATTCATTTTGCTTTGTTCATATAAATCGAGTCTCAAAAGTATGTCGGTATTTATCATTTTAATTTCTCTTGCTGTTTAGTTGCAATTTAATCGGTTTACCACTATGGAAAATAAGAGAAATTCATGTAAATTCATATCACCTTCGTTGCTTGCATACGTATTTGGGTTGATGAACTTGATCTGTGTTCTGTTCTTCAAAAGAATTGGACTGCCAATACATCAATGCAATTTTTTTGTCTCAAATATATTTCGATACTTTTTCCATTTTATTTCTCATGCTTTTTCAAAATCAATGAAATTATATATATTATTAAAGGCATATGCAGGAATAAATTTAGAATCATCACAATTGCACTGTTCTATTTGTAGATTTTTGTTTTGCTTATTGATTTATTAATTCTTTTATTCATTTTGCTTTGTTCATATAAATCGAGTCTCAAAAGTATGTCGGTATTTATCATTTTAATTTCTCTTGCTGTTTAGTTGCAATTTAATCGGTTTACCACTATGGAAAATAAGAGAAATTCATGTAAATTCATATCACCTTCGTTGCTTGCATACGTATTTGGGTTGATGAACTTGATCTGTGTTCTGTTCTTCAAAAGAATTGGACTGCCAATACATCAATGCAATTTTTTTGTCTCAAATATATTTCGATACTTTTTCCTTTTTATTTCTCATGCTTTTTCAAAATCAATGACATTATATATATTATTAAAGGCATATGCAGGAATAAAAGAAGAATCATCACAATTGCACTGTTCTATTTGTAGATTTTTGTTTTGCTTATTGATTCATTAATTCTTTTATTCATTTTGCTTTGTTCATATAAATCGAGTCTCAAAAGTATGTCGGTATTCATCATTTTAATTTCTCTTGCTGTTTAGAAAACCTTCTGAAAATGAACATACTTACAAAAATACACTCTGATATGAGAAACACAGCTAAAATATATCATGCAAATGGATCTCTTCGAAACGTAAATCACACGATCGCAATGACTTTCCATAAATTAAGACACATTCGATCTTGGGCTTCACTTACCCTGCTTAATGATAGTTATGTGTAACATTATAATTACATATTGCATAATCTAAACATGATTTCTAAAGGCGATACAAAAGAGTATTGAAATGCCATTAAGTTTATTTCTTGAATGTCATTGCGATCATGTTTATCACACAACAGATGGTTACGATGGCTTTGCCACCGTCTTCTAGCTATAAATCCTCCAGGAATATTTTGTAATGTTCCTTCCAAATCAGATCTATTCAAAGACTAGATGTGTTGAATACATCTCTTAGGAAATGCATACATATAAAACGTTTGTTTAACGTTAAATATCCATGACTTTAATATCATCGTTATTCATAAGGGTTAAAAGCATAGGATTAATTTGTTAATTTGTTTTAAAAAAACGGTATACAAATCGTTAACAGATGGATCTCTTAAGTAATTATTGTTCAGCTGTTAAACATTTCCAAAATAAATTTCCCTCGGTTCTTTACGTGATCCTTGTGGAGTAAAACTGACCTTCCAATCTCACCTCATTTTTTTATTATTATAATCCACGCTAATACGCGGCGAAGTGTCGACAAGTATATTCACAGTGAATCAGTATTTTTAAATGAATTAAAAGCCTTAAGGTTTATTTCTTATTGTCTAATGAATGAAATGTCAAGTATAATCCAATCTTGAGAGATCCTATCGAATAAAAAGATTCATTAACTCTCTTTGCTATATAGGTTCGTGTGTCGTTGGCATTTTATTTAAAAATGGGTCTTTAGAGCAGGATTCAAATGTGTAAATTGGCTTGGATAGTGATTTGGGATAGTGACCAAACGGTTACGGAGAGATGACGCCAACTTAATGAAACAACTCTGAAAAAGATGAGAGAAAATGTCTGATTTTTAGAAAAAGCAAAACCTTTTCCGAAGCTCGTTTTGAACTTTCATAGGCGATGCGTCTCTATATGACATCATCTTGTACACGAAAGGATACTGCTACGCTTATTTACTTTTAAAAGGTGCAAAATTACTCTGACTAATTTCAATTCAGGCGACAATTTCCCCTGAAACATCACCGCACAATATACGATCCGATTACGATCCGATTTTGGACGAATTTGCAATAGCATTTGATGCGAACATCCAAACATGTAAACTCTTAATGACCGTGGATATGAATAATCATTATGATTAAGAGATATGAATTTATTATGATTTCATGCTTCTTTGGAAGTGGGAAAGCAAAATCAGCTCAGAATCTTAGTGACGTCAGACCAGAAGTGCGATTGTCTACGATTTGAAGCCGATTTGGCCTTTTTTTTTCTTTCTAGAAGAGTTCAATGCACTAAAATTATGGTTTTTAGTATTTTTGTCATTTTAGAGAATCTTAATCAGGAAGATAATGTTTCATTAGATTTTTGCTTTCTAATACAATTGCCATTTCTTTGAAAATTGGATCGCAGAACGATTGTGTAGTGTGCGGTGGGCTTTACATATAA